CATAGCAGTCCATGTAGACATGGGCGAGCTAGAGCCTGATTATATGAACCTGTTTATTCTAAACTTCTCTCTCTTTCAGTGTCCTTCAGCAAAGTAAAACATTATGCTGTGCAGAACATATAGCAAAACATATTTCCCTTTTCTACAAGGGTTCGTGTATTCTGTGTTTTCACAAATGGTCTTTTAGTAACACTCCTTTTACAATTCATTTATTGGATCATTGTTTTCATTTATGTGTCTTTATGTGCAAGAAGCATTTCTCAGGCATAGCTGAAGCATGTCATTTTATTTAATCTTCACATGTAATTCAAATAGGTCACAAGAACATTTTAGGAGGTACCTGATTACTGTTTATTGTCATCTTGCATGCATCAAACGTTTGCCATAAATTTCTGCCTTACTTGCATACAAATGTCAACACTTGAACAACTGCTGATGAGTTCCTATTTATTTTCAGATATAACACTGGCTATACAAGATATAGCTACAGCCAAACCAAGACAAAAGGGTGTCACAAGGAAGATGTCAAGGAAAAAAGAACTATCCATGGAAAAAAGTGATGTTAGCAATGAGGACAAAGTCCTAGAGAGAACACTGGAAAGTGTAGACAAGAGATATGAAATAAAGTATGATGATTCTGTTTATGATGAAGCTGAAAAAGAAGCTGAAAGTTACTTATGTCCAGAAGATGTTCCAGATGGAGCACAGATAAGTAAAGCATTCGACAAGCTATGTAATATAGTAAGAGATAGAATAAGAGGGTACAAGAAACCAGAGCCTTCTCCAGAGATCTTTACCAAAGGTCGCTATGTTCTAGTTACAGGCGAATCTAGCTACATGGACCCTTGCTTCTGCTCTTCCACTCCACAAGCAGGAGGTAGGATAACTGTTAGCATCATACATGATCTTTTACCAGGCGATGACATTGTACTACCTATTCCAGAATTACCTGAGCCTTCAGAATCATCAGAAAGTGACGACGATGAAGCTGGTTCAGACGAAAACAAAGCAGAAGAGACAGAGGATGATGATAAACCAAAAGAGAATGACAATGATAAAAAAGACCAAGATCCAGAGAATAACGAGGAAGCAAAGAAGCCACCAGATGTCACTAGACCAGACAGCACACATCATGGATCTGTAAGTTCTACTTCTGACTCCGTAAAAACTCAGAGATTTAGCAGAGGCCACAATGTTAATGACAAAGAAGAAAGAAGTCTGAGGCCTTTGCGAGGAAGAGATTTCCCAAGCTCTATGAGTTATGAAAAAGTTGAAGTGGTTGAATCAATTGAAAAAATTTCAGATGACAGAGTGAAGAGTTATGAAGAAACAGCTATGATTGTAGAAACCATGATTGAAAAGACAAGAAAAAAATAACAATATCATGTTCCTGAGACACCTCAGAGAAAATATCTTTTATTGATTCTTAGATGTGTTTACTGAAACTGAAACTCACTCCTTTTAAACTGGAACTAGATTATACTTTGAGGAATATTTTACTTAGGCTCTGAAAAGGGTGCAACTTGGGTCAGCGGTAATAGAGTATATCAGACAAATCCTAATACCTTAAGCTGCATATCATAAGCAAGATATAGATAGTTCATCTGTTATTCAGTGAAAGCCAGTAGCTCTAAAGTGATTGCATTGCTCAGTGAACTGATATTGTTTTTAGTGTTGAATCTGGGTAATTTGCTTCCAAATAAAGATTTGCTATCTCAAGCAAAATCTGTTTTTGTATTTCTATTTATTTGACCAAATTTTGAGGTTTACCACTTATTTGTAGAGGCATATATTACATTATTGATCTAAAAGTAACCATCTATACAATTAGAGATTCTCAGCCATACATTTTCCAAGAGACAAGGGCCTAGCCTAGGGTGCAGTCAGCACTTTTCAAAGTGACTCTGCCAAGTGGAAGTTGGCAAAAAAAGTGAACCCATTTTGACTTTGAATATCAAGATCACATGATTGGGTAATTGATTTAAAATTTTTAACATTCACTTTGCTGCAAACAACTTCTACTTATTTTGCAATTTAACTTCCTCCTTCTGACTTACGTTAAAAAAAATGCACTTTATATATGGCCGATATTTGAAAATGTCTACTCTATCTTCTGTCTTGCAGATCATTTACAAATTTCTAAATTTAAATAACCGAAAAACTAGAAGAGCAAGCATGAGAAAATATGAGTCACAAAACATGACTCTAAAGTGTATGTGAATCCAAAATTATTTTCAGTCTTTGGCACCATGACATACTGTGTACAGTTTTCGTAAGGAAATGTATTTAGGAATCTGTAGCAAAGTTTCTTACCTGGAGATCCTGCCAGTTGCAACACTCCCTATTTCAAGCTGATAACGTTAAGCTGCTACTGTGCAATCAGCAGCAACATTACCAACCGCTGTCTATCAAGCTTGCACATGCCTCCCTCAGACCTGATAGGCAGCCCAACAACCAACGGAAGAAAACTGTATACAGTAAGGCATGATGCCAAATATACTGAAAAATAGATTTTGGGTTTACATTTAGAGTACTTTAAAGCTCAATTGAAGACTCCAGTTAACTGCATTACAGTAATAAACAGCAAGGTTTAATCGGGCATTAAGGTACACCCTAGAATAATTATGCACCATGTTTTCACTGAACATGCAAGATGGATCTACCTTCAAAGGACAGATCTATTTCCTGTCAGCTCCATGGCAGCACACAAATGGGTTAATCCCTTTCGTGTGCAGCCATGGAGCTGGACAGGAAAGGAAAATTACGTTAAGTATGAAATACAATTTTCCTGTTTTTAGTTAAACCAGTGATATAACATATCTAATCACTAAACAAGCCTTTTTTGTAATCTAGTGTCAATAAAAATGACCTTTTTGCAGCCAGCAATTTATAAATTGTGCAATAAATTAAAACATGGCTTCAAAGTATTGGGATGGCTTCATAGCTTCAGAACTTCACTGGAAACCATTTCCTGCTTATGCGATTGAATCACTGCTGTTTTTAGCAGTTTCTCTCTTACCCTTTTTTTGGGATGGCTGGTCATGTGACTATAGCAGAACGATCCCCCGCACTCAGCCTTCAGAAAGCATAAAGTAATATAATTCCAGGTGTGAGTTCCAATACAAAAGGCAGCAGGTAGGTCCCTGTGATGATGTTTTCTAAAATGCCAGTGCTTAAGCTATCTATTGTGGTTTTTTTTGTTTTTGCACAACCACATTACAGCGATGCTATTATGTAAGGGCAATTTGCAGGAGATGTTTTTGCAGGTTTGCATGTTCATTTTTTTATGTAGCAGAGATTGCATGAAAAGTAGAACTTTGTGTATGTTTTAATTTGCTTTACAAATACCTTCAAACTGGTCTTCGACTGAAGTATTCTTTGAAAAAAAAAAAACTATAAAAAAAATCCAGGGCACTTATCTCATTAAAAAAAATTTGACTTCTACTTTGTAAAAAGTATCAGCGGCAGCCTCTGTATTTTTTTATCAACACAGGTCTCCTTTAATTCCACTTTTTCATTGATTTGCAGTAACATAACCATATATTATGTTTTCATTGCTGTGCTGGTATGTGCTCTTATTTAGCTTATAAATTGTGACCCTAATTTTAAAAAAAGTATATTCTGCAACACAAATAAAAACAAAATGATCCTGTGGATAGCTGGACATCTCAAATGATGTTCTAAGTATGTGAAGACAAGTTAAAAATATTGCATGAGGCTACTTTAACTATTTTTATATATAACATAATATGAAAAATAGCTTAAGAATTAGCACAATTAATTTCAGCAAATCAGATTATTAAGAGTTGCATGCTTAAATATATGTCTTATAGTATATTCTAGCGCTATAATACTTAAAATATCATGCAAACTACAATAAAACACTTTTAGTTTAATCATTAAAAAGAAGTTTGTATATATACTGTGTATTACAACTCCTGACTTTCCCTGTAGTCTAAATTAAATTTTCCTACATTTGCTTTCAAAGTGTAGGTCAACAAAATGAATGGAAAACAAATCAAGCATTTTTCTATTTAACTTTTAGAAAAGTAGAATTCTAAGAAATATAAACAAACATTTTTAAAAATTGCTGCTATATAAGACATTTAATGCATTATAACATAGAAATGCATGATTACAAAGAATGCAAATTAATATACATGGTCATCTGAAGTTTTCACAGAGATGGAATGAAGACCAAATAACTTTTTACAGAAAGTGATGAATTTAAAAATATTATTTTTTGTATCATTAGCACATACACGTGACACGTGTGTATAGCACACTATACAATGTGCCTGTTTTTGTGTGTTTTGCCTTCATTTACATACACTCATTTACATATTTTCCTTTGGTTTATTATCATCTCCCAAATAAAATACATTTTAGGCTTTAAAATGAAACTATATGGCATAATACATCTGAGTATATATGAAGGAACTTCCTGTAATAAATATGATACCCTGCATAAATGCTCTCAGATAATAGATAATATTTGCAGATTGTATGCAAACAGTGAACATTAAACAATTTTTAATAATAATTCAGTACAAAATGAAAAAATATATTGTGCTTTACTACCTTCATATTTTCTGGCACAATCTTAGAAAATTAATATTTCTTACATCTTCTGATATTTTATTGCACGTTTGGCAGTTGTTGCGGGCATAGTGAGACTTAAAAAAAAAAAGAAAACTTATTCCCATGAAGAAAATAATTAATCAAATATTACTTTTAAAATAATAAACAGATTATATTTTATCCATTTAAAAAAAAATATAGATACAATACCATACATGTGGTTTTAGAGTTACAAAAGACTCTATAAGATTATATAACAGAGAGAAGAAAGAAGAGAGAGTGGCGGGAGCTGATTAACCAAAGATATCATCTGCACCCTAGGGAGAGAAAAAGGGACCCAATTTACTAAAGGAATCATTTCAACCCAATAGTGCGCTCACTTAAAATCCCCAGTTACATTACGGGGTGTAAAAAAAAAAACCAGGAATTTCCTGTAACCATGAGTTTTGGAAGTGAATACACACTAGTGTAATATTACTCCTTCAATAAATCAGCACATAGGTGTTCATTTACTAAAGGAGTAGAGCATTTTGACTTATCTTGGTAAATGAGGTGAAACAAAGTGAAAATACACTTTGCAAAGAATAGCCTCTATAATTATAAGCAAGGAAATTTTTTATTTACATTGTTTTTTTCTCACACGTGATTGGTTGATTGAAGTCAGCACAGCTTTGGCTCATTTATTAAAAAAAGGAAATGTTTAGTAAATTTTCACTTAGCTCAGTGAATGAGGCAAAGCTGTGCTGCTTTCAAACATCCAGTAGTTTTTAAGCAAAATCCAATTTTTTTACATTTTCCTTGCACATTATGGGAAACACTTTACAAAGTGAATGATCACTTAGTTTAATCTCTTTTACTAAGATAAATGTAATGGAGAACATATTATTAGTGGCCCAGGGCCAACGAGGTTAAGGAGAACCTCAGGAAACTTTTGATACTTTGTCAGTCTAGCCTTTTAATTAATATTATTTTTCAGTGTTCACAAGTACTTAGTAATTACCAAAAATATTAGACTTCTTTGAAATTACTTCTTTTTCCACAAAGGTTCCTAGCTGCTACAATATTGCTTGACATTTATTCGTGGATCCACAACATACATTTCAGTTTTTCTGTGCCCCTATAATTGTGTAGGCTTCATTCACTGATAACGGAACAGAAATGCAGCAAAATGTGTATTGTAAGCGTTAATCTATTTGGGGTTTTGTGAGTGGTGAATTCAGCTACCACACGCACAGTGAGAGCTCATATATATATATTTTTATAGTCACAATATTTAGTCGCTTTAAAATGGCTTCAAAAAAGCTTTTCCAATTGGGATTGTATTTAAGATTTACAGAATGTTGTTTATTTAATACCACATTAAATTAAAGGTTCATTAAAGCATTCCTGTACAATTTGAATGCCACATAACTCTCTGTCACTTAAGAGTACTAATCTAATTTAATGACTAAAATGTACTCGCTCATTCATTGGTTTCTGGCACCTAGAACCCAGCATTGATAGTAATTTCCTAAAATAATTTCAAATTAAAGATGTCCCTAACTGCCCTGCCCTCTAGCCCAGCCTTAATAGTAAACCTGAACCTTAACATTTAACTCTGAAATGTAAAACAACCTAACCCTCCTAACCGACTTATATCCCAACACTTAACATGTCCCTTAATACTTAGCCCAGACCTAACATTTAAAAATTGCCTTTGCCCAAAAACTTAACCTAACACCTAAAATGAATATGTAACCTGAACCCTAACACGTAACCTATCACCTATCCTCAACATATTGCTAACCTTAACCCAAGCACTTACCCCCCAAAAAATCTCCTCCTTGACCCTAACCTCAACCCAACCTTTTTTCTAATCCTTAACACTAATTAACCCCTGTAATTACCGTACTGGGAACTATAACTATTAACACAGAAAACTACCTCTTATGAGTGGATATTTCACAGCACCAAGTTCTTGATATTGAATGCTAACACTCCATTACTTCACCTATACTTTCCCTTCACACATTAGATTTGCATTTGCTCCAAAAAGGGTAGAAGGTTCTATACAAAACTGGACACAGAACATGTTTGCAGACTGAATGGTAATTTGCATTATATCTATTAGGGGTAAACACTGTAAAAATATATAGATATATATATTTATTTGATTCCAAACAAAGGAACAGATGACTATAAATATTTAGAACATATGGTACCAAGAGGCTGTGGTATCCTATACAGAAATTTAGGTGTTAGAAAGATATGCTGAAAATTCTGAAAAAGAAAATATAAGATAGACATGCAATACAGTGCTAGTTCTTGCTTAATAGACTTTTCAAGCTTCTTTCCACAGCTTCGTCCAGTTCTTCCTCAAGCTCCTCCTTCTTGGACATAGCCAATTTTGACTGGTAATCTCTAACTATTTGGTCTATGTAGGGGGCACTTTGAGTTCCATGCAGCATCAGGGTCCATTCTTTCAATACGCCTTTTTCTGGCACGCTCCCAACAAAACCAATCTCAAGAACCCAAGTTCCTCTTGGGTCTTCTCCCCAGGTGTGAGTTGTCATGAATGGCCATTTATCAAAACCCACTTTAGAGTCCTCATCTCTTGGACGACGACTCAGCAGAATGGATTTTGTTCCCATTGGTGATGTCATATTGAAGTTCAAGTCTCCACGCCTTGTAGAATTCACAGTTATAACTGCTTGGACATGTTCAAGATACCGAACAAAGTTTTCCTTTCCTTCACAAGCATCTGTTGTAAGTGTGAGCATCAACTTTCCATCAGACGGTATTTTCCTGTTTAGGGAAATAAACAGATTTCACAATTTAGATACATGGTATGTGGGTTGCAGAATGCATTTAAATCATGTGCATGCCTCACCAATTTGTAATACCCAATTTACTAGAAGAATATGCGTGTACGCTATGATAATAATGCTGCCGCAAATCTAATCAAACAGTCAGAGTGTACTCACACAGTGTTTAAAGTGAGCAACGTGTGGAGGTGAGACGCAGGTGCGAGGATCTAGGATTAGAGCGACACACAAACAGACGGACGTGACATACATGCTACACACTCTGGATATTTTTGACTTGGAAGGGGCAGCACAGACGACCCTCCACAAACTGTTCAATCCTGAAGCACCCTCTCTTGTGGCCCCAGGGCCCCCAAATTGGCCCCTGGACGAAGTGGTCACGTTGGGATTTCGATCCTTGTCCACAATCGGTCTGGGGAACCCTGTTTGCACCCGGGAATCCCATTGGGTGATAGATCCATGTTCCCCTGAGGAAGCAGTATGCGAAACGCGTAGGGACTGGATACATGGATTTCCCAACTGAATACGTATGACTTACAAGATGAATTGGAGCTAGGATGCAACTGGTTTTTAATCTTGCTTAAGATGTTATTGATTTAGATTGTACCTTAATGAAATGTATACATGTTTTTATACTGAATATATGTTTAATAAATATCTTTTATACCAATTAAAAGGGGGAGAGGTTACACCCGGAGACCACTGAGGCAACAATTCACTATTGTATTTCTAAAGTGAGCAACGTGGTTGTGCTCACAACCACGATAACGTACATGTAGTTAATTCATAATAAATGTGGTTTGCTAAGCAGGACATGCTCCAGCCTCTGCATATACAGCAAGTGAATGGTGGTGTAAATGCCCACTGTACACAACTTCCACAGAGCCAGTTTGATCTGAAAAACGTTACCTGTGGATCCCACCCTTCCTGAACATGGCATCCTGGGACACACAAAGCTTTCCACTGTCTTTTGTGTGTCTTTCAGTGGATTGTCTGTGCAATTATGGACTCAGGATTCTCTCAACTGTGTACCTTTACTAGAAGTGAACAGGAAGGAAATGATAGTCCACAGCCAGCCAGATCCTTAAGTTGTTGCATCCTTTGGTTAAGCAGAGTGAAGTACAGTATATTACAGCTGTGAGTTGTATTCATGCAAAACATACCTGTATTCTGCTTGATTTGTTAATTGTGTATTGTTTGGCTTTATATCTAAAGTACTGTGCAAGAGTTTTAGGGTGGTGTGAACAAATGCTGTAAAGTAAGAATGTTTTAATAAATAAAAGTGTTAATAGTTTATTTTGTATCAATTAACAAAATGGAAAGTAAATGAACAGAAGAGAAATCCAAATCAAATCAATATTTGGTGCCTTTAAAACAGCATCAATTCTTCTAGGTACACTTGCACACAGTTTTTGAAGGAACTTGACAGATCTTCTGAGGATATAGGTTGCCTCAAATCCGTTTGTCTCTTCATGTAATCCCAGACAGACTACATGATGTTGAGATCAGGGCTCTGTTGGTGCCAAACCATCACTTCCTGGACTCCTTGTTCTTCTTTACGCTGAAGATGGTTCTTAATGACATTGGCTGTATGTTTGGGGTCATTGTCCTGCTGCAGAATACATTTGGGGCCAATCACACGCCTCCCTGATGGTATGGCATGATGGATAAGTATCTGCTTGTATTTCTCAGCATTGTGGCCAACATTGATCCTGACCAAATCTCCATCTCCATTTGCACAAATGCAGCCCCAGACTTGCAAGGAACCTCCACAATGCTTTACTCTTGCCTGCAGACACTCAATATTGTACCGCTCTTCAGCCCTTCAGCGAACAAACTGCCTCCTGCTACAGCCACATATTTCACAGTTTGACTCCTCAATCCAGAGCACCTGCTGCCATTTTTCTCCACCCTAGTTCCTATGTTTTCATGCATAGTTGAGTCACTTGTTTCCACATTGGAGGTATGGCTTTTTGGACACATTTCTTCCATGAAGACCACTTCTGGCCAGACTTCCCCGTACCGTAGATGGGTGTACGTGGGTCCCACTGGTTTCTGCTAGTTCGGTGCTTTCATTTGCTGCATTAAGTTTCCTTGGCCGACCACTGCGTCTACGATCCTCAACGTTACCCGTTTCCGTTTGCTTCTTCAAAAGAGCTTGAACTGCACATCTTAAAACCCTAACCTTTCTTCTGTTCTTCTGTAGCATTTTGCAAATTGATAAAAGTAAACAATAAAATATATATTTTGGAAAGCATTCTTACTTTAAAGCATTTCTTCATACCTGCCTAAAACTTTTGTACAGTACTGTATATCCCATACTTACAGTGCCTTGATTGCTCCAGGAAAAGGGAACATATACTTTTGGAGCTGCTCATTTGTTTACTGCATGTGCCTTTCACACCTCAGTACGCAATCATGGTGGTTGTTTAATAGGGCCATACATCCAACAGTGCGGGCATGGCCCCATTTAAACGTATAGGGAGTTACTGCGCAGGTGTGGAAAATGTTGAACAAGATTTTGGGAAGAAGGCTGTAAACAATGGATTAGGTTTGAGGACTAGGGTTGGGGAGTTTACTATATATCTTAAACATGCCCATTATTGTATATTTTAATACTATTTATTTCTGTCTGGTTTGAACTGGAAGTCATTTATCATTAGATGTTTTTGCTCAACATAACACAGTATATAAGTTCCCCTTTATTATTTCAGTGGAAGATTATTATAAAAGACTGGGCGCTTGACACATAATTACAAGCTACATATTGTATGAGTCTTAGCATAATTTCTCATTTTCACAATGCGTTTTTGCTCATTCTAATCCTGGAATGGCATATTAAAGTGTTTTAAATATTAATGGAGTTGCCTCGCAACAATTGCTGCAGACGACAAATGCTACCCAGCTTCTTCCACTAATTGACAGGGTTGCTAAGGTGCACCACAGAGGATATTCAAAAGGCTATATATAGACCATGCTCTGCAAGTCTATGAGGAGGAAGAAAACAATTATCCATAGTATGACTGAATCAAATCTTAATGGAAGTTGCAATGCAATATCTTAGAGACTGCTGGTTTGTTTTACTTTGCTTGAAAATAATGCAGGTAAAAGCTTAAATATCAAAAGCTAAAGCATCACTATGGTTTCAATATTTTCATCAGAAACTATTTTAGTCACATTTCAATCTGATAATTAGAAAAAAGTAAATACGTGTTTTGAGATGAGGGATTTAATTTGAGGAGCATTTAATCACCTATTCCGGCTATATGTTTGTTCACATTGAAACTGAATTCTAATTATAAGTTTATTATTTCTTAGACTAATTAATGTAGGAAGGGAACAAGCAAAGAAGGAATGATATGTGCAAGGTTTACATCTATGAACATAGGAAATAACAGAAAAATGCAAGGGCTTAAAGCAACTCTTTCCTTTTCCAATATTTACAGAAACTTCCGTCTACTATTTGGCTTAATTAGTGAATAAAACCCAGCCTCAGGGTGTCCCCTAATATCCAATTATAGCCTACTGGGTGCTGCCATCTTGTCCCTCTTACAGCATAAAGGAGGTTAAGTCAAGTGTCAATCACAGCCAGTAAATTAAAGGCCCTTTTTGTGGCAGTCATTGGGCTCTGCGTATGCCAGTAGCCACGGAGAGTGGTTAGAGACGCAGATAGTGGCTTAAATTAGAAAACGTCTAGAGAAACAGTAGTAGTGTAATTAAGTCTGCTCAGAGTGCACATTTTGGGGAAGGAAGGAATGTGTTTGAATTGGTTAATGGAGCAAGTTATGAAGATAGCACTGTTTACCTGCTCGGGGAATCGGAAGGTTTCCTTTAAAGCCCATCCTCAGCCACAACATTTTTAAGCTTGGAAAATGTGGGTTTTTATTTCTGTCTGTAACACCATTGGGGATGTCTGCCCTTGGCGTTGACCTTTATGTGCATTAATACAGTATTTTAACATCATTCAATAAGCATAACAGATCCCTATATAATACATGGGGGGATTCATCAAAACTGGAGCAAACACAATCAGGAGCAGTTGCCCATAACAACCAATCTGCTTCTCACTTCTGTTTGTTCAGTTAAGCTTTGAAAATGAAATATGGAAGCTCATTGGTTGCAATGCACAGCTGTTCCAGATTTTGTCTTCTCCAGTTTTGATAAATTCCCCCCTATGGTGAGTTAGAACCTTCACGCAGATGCTAAATGCTTTTACAAAAGAACAACTTGTACTTTTTAAATTCTCAATTCCAATTTTTCATACAAGGTACCTTGGCTCCTGTATTGATCCACCAATACAATGGAATCTTTCCGGAACAGTTTTCCATTCTCGTGCCATTTTAACCATAGAGCCAGCATCCAGCACACCATAGCCAAACAAGTGATTGAACTCCAAACCAACACCGTTTCTACGCCACTTATGAACTTCATCATGCAGCTGGTTCCTTTTGGATGTCAGCACTGTTAAGTGTTGCATGTCCCTCCAAGTGAGACCTGGACTATTGCAAGACAAAATTAAATTACAATACTGGAACTATTTCTAAATGTGTACTTAGCAATATGTACATTTAGAGGTTTACTTTTAAAACAATTTTAAGTATAGAGAATCTGACCACAAACAGCTAGAACAGAGCAAATTGAGAGAAGAACATAGAAAAACCATTGCTTATGGAGTGTCAAATTCCTGGTCCCCTGATAAGTGCTGTGGTTTTTCCTGCAAGCCTCTATTTCTCTTCCAAATACAGTAGTGATGAAAGGGTCAGCGAATCAAACCACTGAGCACAGTGGGGGATTAGGGATCTGACAGAGTCTTCACACTGCATTTTCTCTTTATTGCAGCAGAAATCAGCATTGTGTAACAGGTGAGTGTTATCAGGGACGACTTTATTTTCCATAATTATTTTGTCTTGTATCTTTCCCCCCAAGGGGTCTCCTTAACCGCTTTAAGACAAGGTGTTTAGACCCCCTTCCTGGCCAGGCCATTTTTCAGTATTCAGCGCTGCAGTACTTTGACTGACATTTATTCCGTCATGCAACGCTGTACTGAAATTAATTTTATACCATTTTTGGGGAATAGATAGAGCTTTCTTTTGGTGGTATTTAATCACCACCAGGGTTTTATTTTTTACTATATTCAGGAGAAATTACTGAAAATTTTGAAAAAAAAAAAGTTTTTTTTTTACATTATGTTATAAAACAACTAATATTACCCACTTTTTTGGTAACATATAAAAGACGGGGTCACGTCGGGTAAATAGACACCAAACATGTCAAGCGTAAAAATTGCGCGCACTCGCAAAATCGCAAAAAACTAGCATACCCAAAATTGGCCATAGGCGACGCTTTAAAAGCTTTTACCGCTCATCAGTTTAGTGTTATCAGTGATTGATGGCCCTAGAACTATTGCTCTCATTCCGACGTTCGCGGCGATATGTAACATGTGCGGCGTAATGGGTGCAATCGTCGTTTTCGCAGGTATGCGCACCTGACGCATGTTTACATGCGTGTATGTAGGGGTGGGGACTTTAAAAAAAAAATTTGTTTTTTTTAATTCTTTTTTGTGTAACTTTAAAAAAATTGGGGGGGGGGAAACTTTTAATTTTTTTACTATTTTTTCACTTTTTTTTTTCACTTAACTTTATTGCTATCACAGAGGGGGCTGAGAAACCCCCTTATGTGATAGCAAAAGAGGTGACAGCAGGTTCTCTTTATGACATCAGGGGGTCTCCAAGACCCCTAATGTCACCTAGGACCCCCCTGAAGAAGCTGATGAAGCAGAGATCTGCTTCATCAGCTTCTCTCCAGCATCTGAAGCTGGAGAGTGACACAAGAATGCGGAAGTGATGTAATATACAACACTTCCGCATTCTGACAGCGGAGAGGGGACCGGAGGGAGCTCGTGTACCGAGCTCCCTCTGATCCCCTGTGACAGAGGCACTATGCTGGTCCCGGGCTCACACCGGAGCCCGGGACCAGCTTGACAGCGGGAGGGGGGGAGGGGGAGAGCCGCGGAGGGGGGCGCACGTCTCAGGGCTTCATACAAGCGATCCGCCGGCTCTATAGCCGGCGGATCGCTTGTATATTAACGGGCATCGCTGCCTCTTTTCAAATAGCGGGGATTTCTTGCTCGGGCGCGCTGTATACACGCCCAGTTACATCCAAGAAGCTCCCGGCAGGCCGTGTATACACAGCGGCTGGCCGGGAGGTAGTTAAGGGTGCACTGCATCCTCACAAATTACCCTTAAACCTTTACAATTGAAATAGGGGCCACCTTCCCTACTCATACCCATTATAGCATGCGTTATTTAAAGTGGATCTCCAGGAAAACCTTTTTAGAATTATGCCCTGTAGAAACTAGTTACCTCTAATGATGGTAATTCTATGTTTTAAGTAGGGATGTACCGATACCGATACTAGTATTGGTGCCGATACTGAGTATTTGTGCAAGTGACGAGGTGACGTGGTAGCATGGAGCAGACTTCCCGGCCAATCAGGAAGCTGTGCGGCGTGTTATTTCCATCCCCCTGGCTTCCTGATTGACCAGAAATCCGGCTACATGCGTTCTCATCACCTGGCTAATCAGGAAGCTGGGCGGCAAGTCATTACACGCTGCCTGGCTTACTGGCTAATCTGGAAGCCAGGTGGTGAGGCATTATATGCTGTCTGGCTTCCTAAATTGGACTTCCGGTATCGGTGAGTACCGAAAAAAAATATCGGTACTCGTACTCGATACTGAAAAAACAGTATCAGTGCATCCCTTGTCTTACGTGCTGCTGTGTAGTCAAAATGCTAGTGCACTGATGCCGGTTAGTACAGTGAGCTCACTTCTTTCAGCACTGCGATTGACAGTTCCAGCTCTCGTACCATTCGGGGATTGCGGGGTTTAATCACTTCCTTGCGTGAGAATGACAGGATCTTCCCTCTTTCATTCACAGAACGTCTTGTATTCTGTGAATAGAATGCTAGAAGTTGTGTGAAAGGACAAGGGCAGAGGAGGGGGAGAGTAAACAACACAATCCCTACACTGTATGAGAGCCAAAACTGTTAGTTATGGCACTAGAAGAAGAGCACTGACTATAATATCCGGCATCAGTTAAGCTAGCAAATTTACACTACACAGCAGCACTCAATACATATGAACCATCATTACAGGTAACTAATTTTTACAGAACATAATTCAATTTCTTTTTTTTCCTGGAGTTCCGCTTTAACAATGCAGGTGATCTTTCATAGACATTCAAATTATTGTCAACAAATATGGATGGTTTTTTGTTGAATACAGAAATGAGCGCTGTGTCTGTGAACCACAGCAGGCAGTCCTGAGTCTGGGATGAACCTTATTGATTAAAGAAGAGCTCCAGGCATTAAAAAGAACTTACCCTTGTAGTGGTGCTACTCCCACACTGCAAGGGTTAAGTGCTTGTTTTGTCTGGGGGGCTCAAATAAAGCATATATACTCACCTCATCCTTGGTCCTGCAGTGATCAGTGCTCACCTCTTTCCCCCTCCGCTCTAGCTGTGAAATGTCCCTCATTGTCCTCACGTTTAATGGAAATCAATGGACCTGCATTAAATGTGCTGACGTCAGAGGGGAGAAGAGGCTGCAGGGACTGGTCTAGCTGTCCAGTGAGACCAAGGATCAGGTGAGTATATCTGCTTTATAATGAGCACTTAACTCTTGCAATGCAGGAGGGGGGGTAGCTCCACTGCAAGGGTAAGTTTTTTTTAAATTCCCAGAGTTCTTCTTTAAGTACTTAGATAGACTGGGTTGGATTTGTTTAGGCAATGAGTGTTGTGAGTAGTCTTGCCCATTGCAAAAACATGCTAGCTCAGCCTGGCTGTCTACAACCCATAAACTGACACTTGGTAAAGCCAATCTACAGTATTTATAATGTCGGTAACTAGGTTGGATCTCTCTGGTAATAAACTCTATGCTTGTGTAAAATAACTTGTGAACATACAGGACTGAAGGGCCCAATATGTTAGACACTGAAGTCTATAAATTCCCCCGTTAGGGATAAGTACATTCAAGAGTTTATATTTCTTTGACATTTCGGTAAAAATCAAGGGATGTAGGCAAATTTTGCTATTTTGACTAAATGCATTGGAGTAAATTTGGAAGTCCAAATGAAGATAGTTTTGGTGATAGTTAAGGGTGCAATTGGCTTTAAATGGTTTTTAGGGGTTACAGTGGTTCATTAGGGTTTATTTAGATCATTGCATTGCAGTAATGCATGTTACATTTTAAATGTAGCCCCAACACACCTGGCAATGCACACTATTGTGTTGCATTAGAAGAAAAAGTCACATCCTATTTTAAAATGTTCTGGGTGTGTTGGCACCTAAGATTTTTTTGCAACATTTAAACAGGTCCTTAAACTATCTTATTTTATATTTTAGTCAGAGAAAAAGACAGTAAAAAGTAAAATAAACCATTTAAAATGACAAGTAGCAATAAATACGCACACAAAATAGACTTTCTTATGTGTTTACAAAAAGAAAGATAGAAAAAAGTGATGGTTTTAAGAAATGTTTTATATCAAGTCAGACAGTTAAAGATAATTCTGTATGATGAATCCAAATATGGAAAGTCCCTTTGAATTTTTTTGCATAGCTAAACAACATGTATTGTTTACTGTCATCTGCCATATATGTAAAGAAAATCCCATGAACATACTTTGCCTCAAGGGCCAATGCAAACACCCCAGCTGCTTCTGGTGCTGCCGCAGATGTTCCTGAGTGACGTAAAGTGCAGTTTCCATATAAATCTGTCGTAGCCTGAAAACACAAATTAATAATTTACAGGTCACACAGTATTACGAAAGTCATATTATGCAGAAATAGTCTGAAAGCCCTGAAATATTTATCAAGCATCACTTTTTGTATTAAAGGCACCACACTTTGATGAATTCCCTCGGATCTGCTTTTAAACCCTCAAATTAAAATATATACGTATGCTAATATAAGTATTTCTGTATTTTCTGAGTGCAGTGGTGCTGGACACTTCTTCTCAATGTTATTAACAGACATGTAAGTAACAATAGGAAAAACATTGACACTGCATTGTAAACATTGACACCCCGGTCTTTGCCACATCATTAATTCAATTTTGGGATAAGCCTTAAAACCATCAAAAGTTGGAGAAAGGTTTCATTTGTATGTAAAGGGTGGAGAAGGGTTAGACCCACCTCCATGTTTATGTTGTTGTCTGTGTCCCACCTGGGAAGATACCCCCCACTATTGTCATTAGAGCAAGAGATAAGGGGAAATCGTCCAATGAGTACAAATGTCTTGGTGACAATAGTCAAAGTTGAGAATTGCCCTCACATTTGGAAGTTCTCATTTCCTGTTGCCTCTCCAGCAAGACACAGACAGCAAACAAATTACCTGAAAAGGTTTTTAACCTTTCTCTGCTCTAACCAAAACTAAAAAAAAAGTTTTGGCAATAGACACTCTTTAGGCATAGTCACAACTGTCCACAGTTATCTTATATTGCTAAAAATGTTTTGCAAAGACACAACTTGCTTTCCTTTCTCATAAGTTACAACATTGGCAGATGATGAAATTCCATCTTTCAAATGCTCAGCCACCCCAATGAGCAATGAAAAAAACTATTACATTATGCTCCAAAACAGCAATGTGCAAGTTGGTACTTCTTTGAGCCCAGCCAGTGGCATGATAGCAAAGACCATTAAGATGCAATTATAAAAAGAAATCCCATAGGCAGTGAAGAACGACACAAATACAGCCTTAGACTTGTTGACAAGCATGAGGAGCTAGTATGCCCGGTTTATCTGTCTATTGACAAGCATATTGTTACTAATAAAAAGAGGGATTACTACTGGGTAACCATGCTTTGGTAACTTCAATATGAAGGCAATTAGAGTGAATCTGTCAAGGCTTCTGGAAGTAATGATGACCTTAGACATTATTAAGCAGAAAAACACAAGAAAGAGCGCTACTACCTGATATTGAATGGCATCTATACATGAGAGAAGAAACAAATATATTTAAGTGCCGTGGTATATGACATATGGAAAGGGGGACCCTACCCAATTTATAATATAGTGTGAATCTCTATTTCCTCGTTAAGGCCGACTGGTGAAAGGGAGTTTAGTTTGTAAATCCAGAACGTCTCCCTTTTACATAGAGTGTGAAACCGTTCCGATGGTGATAGGTGGTTAGAGATATGCTCAATGGCAAAAACATGGAGATCCTGGGTGTTTTTGTGATGTTTCGAGGTAAAATGTCTGGGGACACTGTGATCCAGATCCCCTTTCTGGATTAGACGTCTGTGGTCGCCAATTCTAGCTCGTAAAGGGCGTATAGTGCGGCCCACATATATAAGTCCGCAGGGGCAAGTCAGTCCATAAACCACATGGTCGTGGGAGCATGTGATGAATTGTTTAATGTAGTATGGTTTCTTGAGGTGGTCAAAGAATTTGGTTTGACCGTGTTGGATAAATTGGCAAGTTAGGCACCTCGGTTTTTTACATTGGAAGATTCCGACCCTGTCGTCAAATAGAAAATTCTTTGATGTAATGTCCGATTCATGAGTTTGACGACTGGGTCCTATCCTATTTTTCACGTTCCTTGATCTTCTGAAATTGATGGTGGGTCTGGGGGGTAGGATTGGGCCTAATCTGGGATCCTTTTTTAGTATATGCCAGTTTTTATTGATGACATTTTGAATGGCCTTAGAACTATTGTTATACGTGGTGATGAACCTAATGTTGTTATTGTTAGTGGTGTCTTTTCTGTGGAATGATCCTAGCTCCTGGCCTGTGGTTTGGTAGGTTGAAAATGCCTCCATAATGAGGTCTTCGGGATACTGCTTGTCTCTAAACTTGTCTATAAGAAGTTGGCTAGAGGCGGTGTAATCGATATCGCGGGTGCAGTTTCTCTTGAGTCTGCAAAATTGGCTTTTTGGGATGTTTCTCTTCCAACGGGGATGGTGGCAACTATTGTAATGTAAATAAGAATTACCACCCGTGGGTTTGACGTGGTTGCTGGTGGTGATGGTGTGATCCGTGGAGGAAAGCTCGAGATCCAGGAACACAATCTTGGCCTTATTGATCTCGTGTGTGAATTTTAACCCAAAGTTATTGTTGTTGCAGTGTTCCAAAAACTGAGAGACGCTGTCTGGTGGTCCGTCCCAAATGATAAGGACGTCGTCGATGTAACGTCCATAAAACACCAGTTTATCTGCGTGGGGGTTGTTCTTCAGGATGTATAGCGCCTCCCAGTGTCCCATTGTCAGATTCGCATAACTTGGTGCATAGTTGGCACCCATAGCCGTCCCTTGTATCTGTAGGTAGAATTTATCTAAAAAGGAAAAATAATTGTGAGTAAGTGTAAACTCAGTTGATTCTAAGATGAACTGGGCCTGGTGGGGATTGACTGAGGACTGGGATAGAAAAAATTGTAGAGCTTGTAGGCCCACTCTGTGGGGAATGGAGGTGTATAAAGAACTGACGTCCAGAGACAACCAACAGTAAGCGGGATCCCATTTGTAAGCAGATAAAGTGTTAATGAGGTGTCCGGAATCCTTGATGTAAGAAGGAAGAGTTTCAACTAACTGCTGTAAAAATTGATCGATATATATGGAAAGTCCGCTGGTAAGACTGCTGGTGCAGGCGATTATTGGACGTCCTGGGGGTTGTTTGCTGTCCTTGTGCACCTTGGGTAGATGGTAGAAATATGGGGTGCTTGGGAAGTTGGGATGCAAAAAAGCTTTTTCTTTTTTGTTGATAATTCCTTTAGCCAAGGCTGCAGAGGTTAAAACCTCGAGTTCTCTGGAGAAGGAAGGTAGGGGATCCGCTAGGAGTGGAATATAGGTGGTAGTGTCAGACAGTAGTCTGAGTGCTTCTTTCGTATATGTGGGACGGTCTTGGATCACGATACCTCCCCCCTTATCTGCTTGTTTAATAACAATGTTACGATTGGACTCAAGGTCTTTAAGAGCTTTATTTTCCTGTGGGGTGAGGTTGGGATGGTGTTTTGCGTTGCTGCACACTTGTAAGAGATCGGCATACACCACATGATAAAATGTATCAATGAAGGAACCTTTGGAGTGTGCTGGAAAAAAGGTTGATTTTGGTCTCAGGTTGGTGTGGATAATAGCAGGATTGACCAAAGCTTCCAAATCAGGCTCAAAAGTGGAGTTGAGATCCATAAGCTCGTACAAGGTGTTGAGGATGTCACCGTCCTGTTTATCGAATATGTCCGTTATGACCTCCATATCTAAAGATATGTTCGGGACAGCTGAATCTGGAATGGTTGTGGGTGTACTGTGGGAGTAGTGTCTCCGGAGTGTAAGTAACCTAATAAATTTGTTCAGATCTTTGAATAAGATAAAAGGATCGGGTTTGGCGTCCGGGGCAAAATTTAGGCCTTTCTTTAACAGGGAAGTTTCGTGTATAGTCAGTTTATGTTCCGAGAGGTTGAAAATTTTTATTGTGGAATTGGCCCTAGGTGTTCCCTTCTTGCCATTTTTGCTGTGTTTACCTCCTCTAACTCCTCTTCTAGTTTTTTTCTTTTTATTTTTTTATTTTTTTATTTTTTTTTTAGACATTATTAAGCTGCCCTCTGCTCTCAGCTTGCAGCAACCTTTACCAAGCAGATTGCTCCGAATTTCATTTCTGAGGACCTCAACTGCCTACTAGTCCTTGAAGAAGGTAGTCATGACTTTGCATGTGCAAATTGAACCGGTGGCCTGAATTTTCCCCGATCTGTCACAACTAATTAAAGTTACTGCCCCACTGCTGGCATGTCTGCCTACTGCAGGCTTCTACTTTAAAAACTGACAGAGAGATGGCTGATGGACAGATCTTTACATGTCCCATGTCCCCAATACAATGTCCCATGTACCCAAGCAGTAGCAAGTAGTGAACATGCATCTTTGTTTCTACAAGGTACACATCAACAACAAAACTATTTAAATTATGGCATTATCAGGTCTTTTCTAAAATGGAATTAATTTTATAACAAACTGTTTTAGTGAACAAGATGGCTGCCACTCATGTATCCAGCTAAATTTATTTTCCACAGAGTAAGGTCAAATGCTAAACACTAACAGGGCTATTCGCAAAAGGGTGAAGAGTTTGGAGAAGGCAGGGGAAGTGAACAATCTAGGACAACATAGCTGAACTGGAATGTGAGGTGAATTGGAGAATTTTTCCAAATCAGCTATGTTGTCCTAGATTGTTCACTTCTCCTGTCTTCTCCAAACTCTTCACTCTTTCGTGAACAGATCAGTACATTTTCTGCATTGTGTTGAGATTCAACTTGGACCACCTGACGAGGAAATCTTTCTGTGTCTACAAGAGGTGTTTGACTATATCTTAAATAGGAACTCTCAAAGACTGAAGAATGAACAATTCACTGATAATACCAAGTCTGGTAAAGTTTACCCATTTATAACACAGGAAACTTCACTGAGACAAAAGACATTGAGAGGAATTTATCAAAACTGGAGCAGGTAGAATCTGGAGCAGTAGCCCACAGCAACCAATCAGATTACATCTTTCCTTTTCAGAACGTAACTGAACAAACTGAAAAGAGAAGCTGATTGGTTACTATGGGCAACTGCTCCAGATTCTGTCTGATCCAGTTTTGATAAATTCCCCCCATTGTTTTTAAATGTAACAATTTAGTTCAACAAGCCTGTATGAACCTCGGAGAGGAACGCCTCACAGCAAATGGCCTGAGGACTCAAAGTGAATTAGAACCCCCAAGCTATTGCTTTAAAATGGAGATACTAAATCACTCAGGATTTTTTGGCTTCTGGATAAACACAGGTGACTCACTGGCCAAAACTGCTGACAACTAAACTTATTCATAAGACAAATTTGAACAACTTACAGAAGACATTGGGACAAAAGCTGGAGCAGCTGTGCATGGCAACCATTCACCTTCTCTCTTTCATTTTAAAATCTTAACTGAACAAACTGAAGATAGAAGCTGATTGATGGCCCTGGGCAACTGCTCCAGTTTCATACATGGTATGATTACATGTGGTTGGTGACAGATGATTGTTCCTGGACGCAGGGTGAATGCAGTCTTATAGTTTGTCCCAACCCCCAGGGCAGCCATCAGAAATTTTGGGGCCCCTTACATGGCTTTAGGCCGAGGCCCCTGCCCTGCACCGCTGCCCCACACTGCCGCCACACTGAGCCAGTCACATTAGTCTCTGACAGAGGAGCTTACACTCTAATATCCCCCCACAGTCACACACTGTTATTATTAGGGATGCACTGATACTGGTTTTTCGGTATCGAGTACCGTTATTTTGATTTGGTACTCGCCAATAACGAATACCGATACCGGAAGTCCCATTAAGGAAACCTTCCTGATGTCTGTAGCTAAAGTATCGGGCCAGGCATTGGAGCATTTGGGAGAGTACGAGTACTCGCCCAAATACTTGGTATCGGTGCATCCCTAGTTATTATTATGCATTTATATAGCTCTGACATATACTGCCGTGCTGTACAGAGAACACTGAGCCAGCCACATCAGTCTCTGTACAAAGGAGCTTACACTCTAATGTCCCCCCACAGTCACATCGGTCTCTGTACAGAGGAGCTTACACTCTAATGTTCCCCCTCAGTCATATACTATTATTATACATTTATATAGCTCTGACATATGCCGCCTCCTCGCCTGTCACCGCCGGCCTATACCCATGCAAGGGTCCCGGGCGGGCCCACCAGGCTGCCTGGGCCCCGTATATGAGTATGGACCCTACCCCCCTGATGGCGGCCCTGCCAACCGCTATAACTGTCACTTTTCCTGGACAGCTTTGTAAGTGTGTAATCATGTAAATGTGAAGAAAGTTATTAATGAAAAAACAAATTCATGTACTTAGTACTATCATTAAATATATACACTGCAAACATTAATCAGAGTACAATATTCTTTATGATAGTAGTCCTTTCACTGTAATATGTTTTTAACACTCCTTCCCAGCCTTTGTCTCATATATTTTCCTGTATTTGCACCAGCATAGAGAGTTTACATCTAACATGCAGCTTGCTAATTTCCCTCTCATAATACCAAACATAAAGCCAAGGCACCAAACTGTATGAACTATATTGCCAAGTGCAGTAACTGAACCATTGCAACTCAAAGGATGTTTGGATTGTTTAAATATTAACATATTTCTCATCAGCCGCCAGTGAAAGCCTCACTGGGTTTTTTAGCATTTAAAATGAGCTCTAACAAAAGAACATCTGCTGTTTCTATTGTGAGGCTGGTGCTGTATACGTACCACGCCAGCTTCGGGATTTCGTTTTCTTCCATTGCTGAATGTGGAGGCTAAAGTGGAAGAGCAACTTTCATCATATAGCGCAGTCCGACCGTCATTAATAGCAGAGTTTATAGAGATGGTCCACATGCTGGATGCATAGCCATCGCAGTTACAGTCATCATAACTTCCTCCATCTCCAGACGCCCAGACATAGATACTTCCTTTTCCACCGCGACCCTGCCAAAGACCATTCACATAAAATCAGTGTGATCAAGAGTACATTACTTCTGCAACTTCTGCACAATGTGCAAATACAGCACATTTGCTAAATAATGTAATTTAGGTTTATTTTTAAAGTGTTTGTCAGGCAATATTGAACAATCATAAACATCCCCCCAAGTTTTACCCCTTTAAAAGACTGTAAGTACGGAAAATATTTGTTGATCTACCAGGAATCCAGAGTGCTCCTAACATCTTGTATGGACTGACAATAGGGCCTTTGCTACAATGAAATTTCAACGAGTGTTGTTGACCTGGCCTGCTGGACTACAGAACTCTGCCTGTCCACACCCTTTCTGTCCCTCTTTATATGCAATAAGACAATGCTGCTGCCTTGAATCAAAAGAGTCAGCCCTGTGTGTAGGAAAATGGCTGTTGGGATATGTAGATCTGGGGATGGGTGGTGGCTCTTACGTCAATAAGAACTGAGCTCCCGGCAGTTGTCTTTGCAATTTTGCAAGCTCTGTGATGATATTACAGGTAGTAATTAAAGCTGTTAATTACTAAGGGAAAAAAGGAAGGGAGGAAGGGAAAAAATTTTTGGGACATTCTATAGAGGAGGAGAGGATGTTTGGGTTTAAATTTGCATACACTTTAAAGAGAGCCTGCCATGACCTGCTTGTTTAGGCATCTACATTTTTAATTAGTTATACCTGAGCAGGCCTACTTATATATACATCCCATTGGTTTAGCTTGTTGTGTTTGAGTCTGACATTTCTGATCTATTGCTAGGACAGTTGGTGCCTGATAACCTCTTTCCCAATGTTCCAACATGATATACAAAATGAACATTTACAGAGATTCTATTTAGCTGTCAGGTATATTATAGCACAAGGAGGATTTAGAGAAGCACTGAAGCAGTGTATCCATTACCTTGTGGAGTGGGTCATGTTGGAGGTCATATTTCTGACTTCTCACACTGCACACTTCCTCGACTACCTCAGCAATTCTAACCATTTTTTATGGTTCTGACCCTTACATAATCCATCCAAATCTAAAAAAGGTGTTGGCTAGAAGCACACTTTAAAGCTCAACTCTGGGATAATTTTGATGTCTTTATAAGGTGGTCTTGATGCAACAGCCACCTTTAGGGTTAATGTACATATGTATGCCCTGCACTCCTTACAGCGATTGGGACCAATAGCAAATGTGGTGCTCCCAGTGATAATCATGGATGACGCCATGCTCATCAAACTTGTAGAAAGAAAGGATCAACAGCACTCAGAAGATATAATTAAATCCTTGTGTTCATTTATTTAAGAGAAGCAACACATACTGGACACATAGGCTATTGGATGTATGTGATGCTTCTCTTCAATAAATAAACACATTATTTAATGATATCTTCTGAGTGCTGGTGATCCTGTCTTTATACATTCAGGGTTAATTCACCCCATATGTGTTGGGGCTGTGCTGGCTGTTGTTTCCAGTGCAGCCCCAACACAAGACAAAGCAATTTGCCTTGATACGGACGATCTCGGTTTACACCACTTTGTTGGAATTTGAAAAACGGCGGTGTGCGCTAAAAAAAAGAACACCATGCTGTAAATTTTTTCAGCGTAGTGGGTTGTGATGTGGAACAACCGCCTCGCACCCTACTGTGCCCATAAAACAGTGACATTTCAATAAAGTTCAACAAAAAAAAAGCACACAGTGCGATGTGCCAGGATCGACACATCGGCACTGTGTCGGACAATGCACACCAGCCGCAGTGCATTTTGCGCAGAGGCTGGTGTGAACTGGCCCTAAATCAGGAACACTCCCCACACAATACCTCTTTTTCATCATAAGATGTCTTCAGTCCTTCAGGCTGAATGATACCCAGAACTTCAGGAAGGGTGAGAGCCCTTAGTTTGGCTTAAATGTAAAAAAAAATTCCAACAATTCCTATGTGTCCACTATGGCCTTGTTTACATGTGGTGCTGAATGTTTCCTTGGCAAGAACCCCCCAGTGTTCAATATGTCAACTGTTTAAAAGCACCTTGTACTGAGGATGTCCCTGACAGGGAAGCTCTAGTTCTTGTAATGACCATGGTCTCAGCACACCTGCCATGAGAAAACTATGTTGGCTGCCTCTGTTGACCTTTCTCAAAATGCTTGCTGCTTTTTGCCTCTCTGACTTTTGTCAGTAATTGCTTTGCAAGAAACTTGCAGCAAACGTGAAGATGGGACAAAATCAGAACTTTTACTCTGCATATGTTTAACTGGACAGCAACTCAGAAAGTAAAAAAGCAATTAGCTCAGCATGGCAACAAGATAACTAGTGTTTGTTGTCTAGGTTCTCTGCTTCCAGAAAATATACAATTTGAACGTTTTACTGAGTATTTTTAAGTCTATAATATACATTATAGTGTGTGTATGGAAAAATGGAAGATTCAGGGCAGGCAGTGAAAAGGTTAGTGTATGAATTTAATGTATTATTTTTATTAATAATGGTAAGATATTGCAGTACCCTAGCTCACCTTTGGTAAACCAAAAGGCCCATGTGGGTGACATTGAACATTATTACTTTGTAAAGGACCATTAATAGAGCATTGTTACACTATAAAATAGAAATGAATGCGTCGGTATGAAAAGAACGCTTTTCCATTAGTGTGTTTCTTTCTGCTGAGTGAATCAAGAATGTTTTTCCTGAACTGACCTCAAATACTGCGTCAACATCTATATACAGGAATAGGATATTATCGGCAGACAATGACCCAGATATGTCAATGCAAGAATATTTAAAGGAGGCACCAATGTTTCGCTCATGCATTACAGAAAAAATCCCATGTATGTATCCAGCTGAATACCAAACATGAGGAAAAGCACACTGTATCTGCAATCTGAGCAAATAAAACACCATTCACCTGGTTCACCTGCCATAAGTCAAGGTGAACCAACTGCCTTAGGTCCACTTAATAGCCAAAACTGCTTGTGGAAGTTGCTCGAACTAGAAGTCTCTTTTAAAGGGACATGGGGATGAGTTTTTAGGTGAAATGACAGTTGTTTTCTATGTGCCCCGTTCACACAATACATGTAGGGTGGTGTGCAGAAAAACGCAGCTCAATTTTAAAATAGGCTCCTATAAAGGAAATTGCACATGCATGCAACCTACCACCATCAGTGTATTAATGTATTTGCATCTTTATGGCAAAGGAGATGATAGGTTGAGTTGATTTATTTGATCAGTTTTGTAGTTTAAATCTGTTCAAATGTGGGCGAAAATTGCGGAAAAAAAACTCTGCGTGTCTGTGGCCAGCATAAAACTAGCTTAAGTGGTATGTTCATATCCTTTTAAAGGAAACATATACAGTATAGAGAATCTTAATTGCTGAACCTTCCTTGTGAAAATGTTGGTGGCATGCTGACTTAGTGGTTTCAGAAGAAACCTGGACCAAAATGCAAACCCGAAGTTCTGACTTCACTCTTACTTTCTAATATGCATGCTTGGAGCCAAGAGCCAGGCAACTAAAATATTGTAAAGATGAGTATAACTGGGTCAGGAGATGGGCCTTAAAGAGACTCTTTGCCCTAAATGGTTAGGGTCACAAGGTCTCTTTAAAACAAGGTGGCTAGAGGAAAACAATTATTCTAGCCATCTGGTAAAAGAAGCAAGGTAATGTGCATATTAGAAGTCCTCCAAGCTTTAAAATCTGAGGCAAAATTGTTAATCTGAAGATCTAAGCAATATCGAATTATAAAGCATATTTAAAGAATCCTCTGGAGCTAGACCTACAAGTATGTGAACACTAAAAACTACAAATCAACTAGATGTTGGTCAATACCATGATCAGCCATCCCTAAATTGTATTCAAAATTGACGAGTACCAAAATAAATGCAACCCATAGCAATACCAGATGGTCAATTAAACACATGCATTTATTAGAAAGCATTACAATACAACATAAGTATTTCTAATAAATGTATTGGTTTTAGGTGGCCATCTGGCGCTTCTGTTGCTGCATTTATTTGGGTCCTTGATGTAAGTTTTGGATTTTAGGGAATTTTTCACTGATCATGCTATTAAGCTACTAATGTCGACTTAATCTAATGTCCTGTAATCTTTAAAGGTCCAAGCAGCTGTATCATTGGAAATTATGGAAAATGTATCCTATGACTCAGACGTCTTATTTAATGTTTGATAAAAGAAAAACTGTATAACAGCTGGCTTGGATAAACTCCAGTGGAGCCAACGAGCTCAATTAGCAATGTAGAAGTAAAGGTGGTTTATCAAACAGTAGTTTGCAAAACATATAACTATGTCAGTATATAGGCCTATACCCAGAAAACCTAAGGGCTATTTTGTACCTGACAATACCTGGGGCCCGTTCACACCATAGTGTTGCAATAAATGCACTCATTTGAATGACACCTCAACGAATCTCCTGACGACCGTGCATTTCAGTGCAATGTAGTGCATGGTACTACGTGCATTGCGTAGTGGTGCAGTAAAATCCTATGAAATATAAATGGTACAGTGCATTTTTTCTCAAGGGTGCTAGGTTTGACTTGTAATCTTTGCCCCAAGTAGGTTCACTTAAATCCTAAAGTAGCCTTTATAGTCCAGCAAAATTGTGGCCTGAACTAGAACAAAGGCCAGGAGTAGATCGTCCTTTCATCAAGCATTTTCCTTACCTGTGTTTTAGTGTAAAGCAAGTCTTTGAGTAAAAAGTAGCTTCTATATAATAAAGAAGTGAAGTGGAAAACTGCAATAAAGATGCCTTCTTTTATGAAGAGGTCGAGGTGTATAGGAATAGGCATATATTCTTGCAGGTTTATGAACAGCATACATTGAAGATTTTGTCTTCATTGAATGCCAAATTAATTTGACTGTGGCAGTGTGAGTTGACATATTTGCCGATATCTAAGTGACACATTTATTTGTTGCGAGGTGTGCTGATGTAGCTGCTGGCTCTCATATAGCATTAGTGGCTTAAGACTTCTTTAAAATGTTGTGATGTAATGGCTCCAAAGGATAGTGGAGACCTGTACCAGAGAATGGAGACAAAACAAATGGTGGTTAAAATGACCATTACCTTATTTACGCCGTCTGCCATGGCCTGTAAGGTCAGTTCTCTGGGCCCATCCACTGTCTTGCCATCATCTGTGGGCCCCCAGCTGGCACTGTAAATGTCTATAATTTGTGGCATATGACTGATTGAAGACGCTTCAATTATATCTGTCATAAAGGGCTGATCTAGCATGCGAATACCTGCAAACCCATATTGAAACAGTTAATATCATACCATACAGCAAAATAAAAGTATTAGGCATTTATTATAAGCATTCTGTACAAGATGAACTGGCATACTGGAGGTCAGCCGCCTATCAAAGCCTCATCCAACATTCTGTTTCTGGGAAGGAGAAAAATCACTTTTTTGGCAGGGGCTTACATCAAATACTCACATATTGTAAGACTCAAATTGCCAAGGTCACACACCAAGATGAGGATAGTTATTTTACAAAAGTGATAGGTATCATAATGGTGAGCTTTGAGCCAGGAGAGAAATAAGTGTCATCTGGAACGGAGTAAGAACCATTGTTGGTTATGTGTTTAGATGAAGCACTGAGATCTCGAGGGATGCTGAATTAAGTTCTACTTGCTTAGAAGAACATTACATGTATGAATACAGCATTGTGATGAAAACAGAGAGAAAAAAATATAGCTTCCTGTGTATCATAGATAAGCATGCACATGGAGACTAACATCGCACTACAGTGCCATCTACAGCTCAAAAGACAAAGTACATCAGTATATGTTGTATTTCCAAAACCAATGAGATTTAAAAACAAATTGTGTGACTTAAATCAAAATCCTTATTCTTGTGTTAAAGCTTTGTGAATTAAGCCTACAGTGTTCTGTATTTGAATGCCTATGGCACAGTAACGTAAAATATATGGGAATAATATTAAATTTTCCAATAGGACTAGAGATCTATATTAAGATGTATTTAAATGATAATTGTGTATTTATTTAAAAGGTCAGTCAAAGTGATTTTTTAGTTATGGATTGAGCCTGACTGCTTATCTATTTCCCCCTCACAAAAGATGTTTTTTTTCTGTGGTGGACAGATCTTCCCTTGAGGGAACACTTCCCTTGCAGTCTTGTAAAGCCTCCATAGGGATATATGCTTTGTGTCCCTGTAGTTACTTGTGGGACTGGAGCTTACCAGAATACCATTGACAGGCCTTCTATTTTTTAACTTCAGATTGTTACCTTTAACACATCTCTACTGGGGATGCTGCAGACTTTTATATCAGTATATTGCAATCTCCTGTACAGCAGGACCCTGGGAGTAGGGAAAGCAGCACAGGAAGCCAATCAGGTGCTAATAAGCAACATGCTAACGGGAAAGAGCAGAGTGACAGAGGGATGAGATTATCAGGTTGCTGTTTCTCCTTCATTGTCAAATCATAGGGACAAGGCCTAGTTGTATTAGTTAAAGCACAACTCTGGTAAATCAAATCTTAACCCTTGCAGTGGGGCTACTGCAAGGGTTAAGTGCTCGTTTTGTCTAGGCAGTTAAAAAAACAAATAATCAGCCGAACCGCGATCATGGCTTGCTACACCTCTCCCTCCAGCCTGTCCCTTGGCATCCTCATGTCTAATACACTGTATTGGACGTGATGAATCAGAAGACCTTAGACCGCTGGAGCGGAGAGGGAGTAAGGCTGATGGAAGCAGTCTAAGAGCAAGCCAGGATCATGGCTCGGGTGAGTAAAACTTTGTTATTTTAGCTCCCTAGACAAAATGAACACTTAACCCTTGCTAGTAGGGGAAGCCCCACTGCAAGGGTTAAGATTGTATTTGCCCGGTGTTCTGCTTTAACTGCAGTAGAGAAAAGGTCATTTCCCTAGGCTTGTTGTGCTGTGTAAATCTCAGGAATAAATGGTTTTATATACAAATCCTTTGGAAGCTAAAAAAGCTCCCTCATACACATTTCATCCGTGTATTTGGCTGTTGTCCTGAAGTTCAATGTTTAAGGTAGAGCCATTTGCGTACCCCCAGTTGAACAAACCAATCAGCTGAAGCACAAAACAATCATTTTCATATCTTTAAGTTGTTTAACTTTTGTCATTAAAAGAGACGGAATCAATCCTGGCAAATGTATCATTCATGTTATAGCAAATGACTATTTTCTTCATGCAAACAGTTGCTTCCATAAAAACTAAAGCATGTATAGTCAGCCTTAGACAGGCATACTTAATAATGATATTTCAAGTTCCAGAAGTTTTCAGGTAGAGTCAAATAAAATGTGTCTTAATGCTCCCCGTGCGATATTGGCAATATGTCACAGTTACAAATCATGTTCAATGCACTGTAATGGCCTTGAGCTCTTCCTCCAGTAACAGATACCAGAGGCATAACAACATGGGCTATTTCTAGCTGTTAAAATATATTTTATTGCTTTCTGCAGAGAAGCCAAACTGTGTTGCTCCATAAGACACAGTAGTTGTGCCCACCGAGCCCCTAGCTAGCTAGCTTCAAGTAGTCAATTACAGCTGAAATAATGATGAGATGAATTTTTCAAGGCTGTTTATTATTGTATATTGTCATTGTGTGGCTATCGTAGCCCACCGAAGCTTTTTGTGCGCACAGATGTGCATAGATGAACACAAAATAATGACATCATAGGTATTAGGGAGAGAAAACAGGAGCCAACTAGATTATGACCTTCAAGCTAGTTGAACTCCAAGTAGATATACCTGGAGTTCAACACACACAAATAGTGCGGTTATTCATTCATTAATACATCATGAATCTATTTTTTTTATGCAGCTAGGATAAGTACATGTCAGTCAGTTGTGCTGCATGCATGTGCTGACAGGGAACTTGCTGACAGGAGGAGAAAGCTGAATAATGACTCATCCATTTTCTGCTGCTCCTTCACTGTCCAGTAAAAGACTGTGGGCAGGGAGGTGACCAGGCTGTATTGTTTAGCTACAAGAGAGAAAAGTTAGGTCACTGACTTGGCTGTGTTTTTTTACAGCGCTGTGTAAATCACAGGAATTGATGGACAGAATTACAAGAATTTTGTTAAGTGAAGCAACTCCAAAATATATGTATTTTAAATGTGTATTTTGCTTTATGGCTGGAGTTCAGCATTAAAGTATAATTAAAACCAAGAAGGGAACGATGAAAACCCCTGTTAGTTTTCTTTTCCTATCTGTTCCCTTCACTTTGTAGACACAACAGGAACTGATGGAATAATATCTCCAAAGTGAGGGAAATGTACACTGAAACAATAGTCACTGAGGCTAGGTTCACACCAGGGCGATCCATGACCGCGTGGCAATCGTGCAAGAAACCATGCAGATGGCCGCACGGTCACGGAATCGCCCACCACCGCCGATCGAGCTGGTGGTGCCATTATTTTCTAATGGCACCTCAGTTGCCCCAGGCAGATACCGCGTTGCAATCCCGCACGATCACAGTTAAAAAAAGAGGTACATCTACCTTTTTTCAGCGTTTGCCACGTGGAAATAACCCCATTGAAATCAATGGGGCCACGTGGCAATTGCTGTGTGCAATCGTGCACAGTTGCCGATATCTGAACCTAGCCTGAAACTAGTGTCCTCATTGGAAGATTTTCCCTTTATTTCTGTTCTGGTGGTAACTCAAAATTTTGTTTTTTCCCTCACCCTCAGTCCCAGTGTTGGTAGTCATGAGGACAGATAGAAGAGTGCATCTCCCTAACAATGACAGCAATAAAAACGTGGCAGGTATAGAAACCCCTCACCACTTTATCCAAAACAAATATAACTTTGATAACTGGCTATAAATAAACTTTAGTGCTGCAAAGCATTCGGTAATGAATCAAACAAATGTTAAGTAAAAAGTACAGCAACCCAAAACAAGCAATCTAAGGGGCATATTTAAGAAGTGGCACATAATCATTCATCACTTGATGTCACTTGGCTCTCTTGGATGTATATAGAGCACATGATGAATCACGTTCTTCAGTGGGAAAATCCAGTGGGAAACATCTGCTTTTACTTTTTTTGGCTTTGACTACTGTCATTGGCTTCAGTGAAAGACCAATTCTGCTAGCACTCTTCTGCATATATTTGATAGCCTACTAATCAGGTTTTCAGCCTGACATTCTCATTTGTATATGCCAGTATTTGGGTTTTACACCTGTGGCCTGACACCACTAAACTACATGGATTTCACAATTATCAGGCCAGAGAATGAGGTTGGACCTAAGTTCTATTTTACAACTATGCCTTCAGATAAAGCTCTGTCTAATCTGAGTAGTTGACAAATTATAGTTTACAATATTTGATCACTGCCTTATTAAATAAGCCAAAGTATCTTATTAAATATGATTTATATGAAGTATTTTAGGAGGTTTACATAGTAACAGTAACAAGACTTTAAATGTCAACATCTAAAAATACAAAACTAGGGCAAAATAGTTGCTAGCCCATTGCGTTTCCATGTAGACTCTATCCTGATCAAACCTCCCAATCCATGTCCATCTTCATAACTTCCAAGGTCCAAAATTGTTGAAGTAAAGTTATGTGAAATCAGAAGTTATAAAACTAGCGCTCATGTTTAATAGCCAGGACCTCTGGGTTTTTGATTACCACGCCCAATCTCCCGTAGAGAAGCCTGAGACCCCTACAAACTGTGGGTTTTCTGGTGCTAATAGTGACCAGCTTCTTTACTGGCTCTGATCT